CCCACACTGCCCTCGCACCTTCACGCATCGCATGGGTCTATTCGGCCACATGCGCATCCACAACGACCTGCGGTAGACAACCGCCGGTCACACCACACATTCCCTCACTCCCCACCTCCTAACATCATCACCCCACTAGACGTCAACCCTCACACACCTCATGCACTCAACTGCCGCCTCCCACGCAAGTGGGAAGTGTGCATCTCAACTCGGTCTCCATGCGGCCTCGGCTGCACGAGTGACTTGAGTCCGAGACTATCCCGACACGTCAAGTGTCATGGATAGGAAGGTTGCTGATTGACGCCCGTTCTCGGTTCACGCAGTTCGTCACGTTGTGTGTGTGTGTGTGTTGTGTAGTGGCGGACTGGTGGGCTGGGGACGGGCTGAAGCAGCACCTTCCACGGCCCTCTCACGCATGTGAGAGACACGCCGTTCAACCCCCGTTGTGTGAAATCCTGGTGTTTGTGTGTATGGGGGGCCAGGTCGTGCTGTGGCACGCGCAGGCATGGTCAGACGACCATGTCAGCCACCGCGCCCATTCCCCACTCCAGTCTACTGACCGGCTCGGACAGTGGCTGGGGTGTGGGAATGGGAAGGGAGAGTGAGGTCGACGACTCAGCGCATTTTCCTCACTATAAACAATCTGACGCGCTTGAAGCTATCACGGTGCGCTAAAAGCCGTGGCTTGGAAGGTTGCCAACTGACGGGGTACCTTGGACCTCCTCCATACTGGAGGCGGTCTGAGAGTCAGGCTGCAATGGCTCCTTTTTAATGTGGCCTTTATGGCATTCCCACCACAGTGTGGGATTCGAGCCAGGCGTTGGCGGCACGCCCAGGTGCGGCTTCGGCCGTGCCAGCCTCCAAATCTATGTTGTGTTGGTTGAAATCCTGGTTATTGTTGTGTGGACCAGGGGGTGTGGTGGAACGCCAAGGTGAGGATCCGTCCGAGCCATCCACCTGCGGCCTCCCTCGTCTCCGGTCTTCTTGACTCTGTCTTGACACCGGGCCCAGGCGAGGGAGGAGGAGAGAGTGTAGGTAGATGCTACGCAAGTCTACTGGCACTATAAACCCCTGCGTAAGTCACCGTTCCTGCTCCCACCGCTGCTGCAGCTGTGGGGCACACGGTGGACATCGTCGAAATCGACGGTCGAACTGTCGCGTGTGTGCATCGGTGATCGCCGCTGAGGTCCTCAGCGCGTGTGTGTGTGCCTCTGCTCTGTCTGAGTCAAATGCGCCCGTAGCCAATCAACGAGGGGACAACGTCGATTGGCTTCGGGCTCTCGCGAGACTAGTGACAAGCCTCGCGCGGTCCCAGCGGCAAATCAACAGGGACCGTGAGGCGGACAGAAGGGCAGCAGGACAAAGCGGCGGCGATCAAGGAGGCGCGGACTGCCACAAGGTTGATGTATACAATCGGCCGACCGCGTGTGGTCACCTCAACAGTTCGGCCTGCTGAGTTGTCTAGCACTGCCGGCTGTAGCAGCGAGTCCCTGGTAATGGGATGAAAGACAGGCGACTCCAAGCCTCCGAGCACTGTTGTGTCATCCGCGGGCCTATTGGCATACAAATCTTCAATCAACATATCCATGGCACATTTGGGTCAGGAGTCTCCTGAAAAGGGCGGCAACAACCATCTCTGCATGAGTTCCTCATGCATTCTTCTCTGACCGGTTATCCATTATCTTATGGAATGAGTTGAGGGCGCCGTTCCTGGAATTGGAGGGCTGCTGCGCTGCTCCGATTGTTTCCGGAAGATAAGGCGGGCAGTCAAGGCTGTCGTTGGTGTCCCCTCGAGAAAGTCGTTT